CAGTGAAATTAAGGAGGCAGCAGGGATCCCAGCAGAGTGTGACCAAGACATTGTTACAATAGATAAATCAAAGGACAATTCTGGTCAAGGAGTTTGGAAAGAGCTCTTGATTCATGCCACACCCGCGGTGAGGCGCGTGTTAATTGCCGGTGTCGGAATCCATTTCTTCCAGCAAGCGTCAGGCATAGACGCCGTCGTGTTGTACAGCCCAAGAATCTTTGAGAAGGCTGGAATTCAAAGTGACATTAACAAATTACGTGCCACTGTAGCAGTTGGAGTTGTTAAGACCTTATTCATATTAGTTTCAACGTTTAACTTAGACAAGTATGGAAGAAGGCCCTTACTATTGACTAGTGTAGGGGGTATGGTCTTGTCCCTATTAACCTTAGCCGGTTCCTTAACCGTTATTGACCGCTCACACGAGAAGATCACATGGGCTATAGCCTTGTGTATAACCATGGTTTGTGCCTTTGTTGCGTCTTTTTCAATTGGGTTAGGCCCAATTACATGGGTCTATAGTTCAGAGATTTTTCCATTGAGGTTAAGGGCTCAAGGTACAAGTATGGGTGTGGCTGTTAATAGGGTTGTGAGTGGTGTAATTTCAATGACATTTTTGTCCTTGGCCAAGGCAATTACGACAGGTGGCGCGTTCTTCCTTTTCGGAGGATTTGCTACCGTTGCTTGGCTCTTCTTTTTCACGTTTCTTCCTGAGACTCAAGGGCGTACACTTGAAGATATGCATGTGTTATTTGAGGGCTTTAGTTGGAGAGACTCATTGCATGGTAAGAAGTCATCAGATGATGAAAGTACCGCACAAGATGAGAATAGCAAGAGTCAATTACAAATGGGAGCGACTACTACTAAATCAACTAACAGTCAATAAAATTAGATTTGACTTTACGAGAAAGTATACAAGTATAGTTGAAATCATTAATGTATGTCATGTGACAACCTTTTCGGCTTTATTGAGTAATTAGTATTAGTTTTCATTATGCTCCCAAAATGCATGGAGTTATGCTATTATGTATACAAAAAATGTGTCAAATATAGCATACACCCTTAAGAGTATGATTCTGCTCTATGCTACCAAGAAAACATTGTATTTGAAAAACTACTTGTAACATGAAATGGGGCCAAAAGGTCACAAAGCAAAAATGCATTATTGATATACTTTGTACTCCTATAGTTTCAATATTGTGATTACACTTTAAATGTTGGCACTATTTACGAAATTTACTATCTTGGTTTCATATTATATGTAATGATTTGATATAAAATATGAGTGAAAACTGTCTAATTGTTACAAATAATATGAAATGAATGTAATATAAACATGTTAAATTCGTCCCATTATATATATTTAAAATTTTAACTTTTTATAACTTCTCGTAAATATATAATTATACAGAGATATTAATGATTGAAAATGGCGGGAGTATTATATAATATTCCAAGTTTTGACCGTTTACTCGTTGATTTGTTTTGGCAAGGAAGACTGAAATGAAGGATGATGGGTGTAGCCAGCTGTGAAGTCTGACTGCATGAGCCAAGAAGATTCACTGATGCAATAATGATAATGTGGTTAAATATATAGAATAATGGTAGTTGATAGATGACAAAAATAGGAGCAATTTTAAAGTAAACAACTCCAATAATTGAGGATGAAATTGGCATCATGAATTGACTCCATTTGCACATATCATCATCGGAGCGATGCGTTTTGGTTTAGCCATGTAGTAGTCGGTGTGTGCACATTGCACATTTGCTGATTTGCACATGGGGCTTCCCCCTCAATTATTTATTTTTATATTTCATTTCCAATTTTATTTATTTATTATTCAAATCATTTATTTATTTTTGGTCTCATACTAGGTCATCATTACTCATAAAGTCATATTATTATTATTATTATTATTATTATTATTATTATTGCTATTATTATTATAAAATTTCAAAAAACCTACAAAGTCAATCAATTTACAAGAAATCGGTGGAGAGTTGAGATACAATTTATTATTATTATTATTATTATTATAAAATTAGAGAAAATTATTATTATTATTATTATTATTATTATTATTATTATTATTAAAAACAATTAGAATCAAAAGATTTTAATTTAAGAGCCTACTAGGTATCTTCCAACTTGGATAGATGCATAAAAAATTATGTAATAGCGTGAGTTGTTCAACTTAATAAAAGCATTTGATCGATAAAATCATTTGATTAATGTACACCACCAGTCCACCACTATAAATGCTAATGAGCACGTTCATAAACTAAGCTCGAAGAAGCCAAAATTTTAACTAGCCAAACTCGAACAAAATTTATAAAAGTTTGTGATAGCTCGAACTATCAACCTTAACTCGACTCAGATTGTTTGTTCAAGTGGAACTTATTGCTAACCACTGACGAAACATTAGAATACATTTAGGGCTGGCAAACAGGTCGGGTCGGGTCGGGTTCAGGTCGACCTGTTTACATAAACAGGTCAGGACCCCCCAACCTGAACCCGACCTGTTTACTTAAACAGGTCAGAAAATTCAACCCGAACCCGACCTGGTTTTAAGCGGGTTGACCTGAACCCGACCCGTCTTAACATGTTTTTTTATTTTAAAAAATATTGATTAACCTTGTTATTTTTTTTTAACCTGTAATCTTTTTAACTAATCTTGTAATTTTTAAAAATAAAAATATAATTATTTTTCAAAAATTAACCTGAAATATTGAACAACATAAAAAAATGTAAAATGCAAATTCAAAGCCACTTGCTGCATAGTTTATAGTACAATTATACAACACTAAAAAGTTCCAAGAGTTCCAAAATACATATAACAGAAATTCAATATTTGCCAATTAGTAACTTCATCATCTGATTCTTCATAACCAGCAAGTTCAACGGGTAAAGGAGGAAGAGGACAATCAAGTATCAACCATCTATTAATTAAGAATAAATTAGTTAATTAGATAAATAATTAGGCTAACTTTATCAAAATACTAAATGCCAAATGCAGACTTAGCACAAAATCACTTATCTCACTCATAAACTCATAAAAAAACAGTTGTAAAAACAAGTAATCTCACTCATATTCAGATGGTGAAAAAACCGCATGCACAAAACGCACTCATAACAAACGAGCTTAAATCAGAAAAAAGTAAATCGAAGAAATTAAATCGCAAACAAGTAAACACATAAAAACAAACTAATGTTGAGATGAAATTGAAGAACTAAGATAAAATGCATAAAAAAACAGAACAATTAAGTAAAGAGAATTAATTAGCAAGCAAATTACCTTTGACAATGTTGAGATGAAGATTCACAAGCTTTAATAAACAATTTTCATGGAAAAAAATATGAAAACAAGAGAGAAGAGAGATGAAAGAGAGAGAGAGGAGAGAGAATGAGTGAAAGAGGGGAATTGGGGAAGCGGCGCGAATAAAGAACAAAGCTTAGGGTTTTTCATTTTTGTGGTTAGATATTTGGGCTTAGCCCATATTTAAAAGTTAGGGTGAAAATAACTAAAATTAGGGCTGGTAAACAGGTTTAGGTGGGTTAGGTTCGGGTTGACCCGACCTGAAACCAACCCAATTAATTAAATGGGTTTAGGCGGGTTGGTTTCGGGTTGGGATTTCCAACCTGCACCCGACCCATTTAACTTCAGGCCGGGTTCAGGTTGACCCAATTACATAAACGGGTTGAAAATCTCTTTCAAAACCCATTTATTTCGGGTTGGGTTCGGGTCGGGTTGTCGGGTTGGGTCAGCTTCTGCCAGCCCTAAATACATTGCTTTCAACCAACATTGTTTTGCAGTTCTACCATTTTAGTAACTTGTCGCAATTGTTCACCAACATTGTTTAAGAATTTTCATTTTTCATATGGCATCTAATGTGTCCTTTTGTACACCATCTGACGTGTTTTCTTTTAGATATCTCTGGATATACCATGAAATTTACGGAATTCCTCTTCCAAATCATGGTTCACAAAACAAAACACAACAATTCCTTTCCAATTCAATTCAAACCAACAATAGTGGTGGGATCAAAAAGTTCCATATAAGAAGGGACACATGAAAATAATAACAAGGTTACCGTTACACCACATGTATATAGGAGATCGCATTCGCATGCGTTGGAGTAATTTTCAATTGAGATTACAAATTTTAACACCAAAATAATTCACGTAACGTTATTCACAAGTAGTACTACATTTTCAATCACTATCAACCAACACACTTCACTTCACTATCTCGATAATATGGACCCACCACTAATTAGGGAAAGATATGGCAGGCCAAAGTTGAAGATAATAAGGACATCCCAATTTATTTGGGCTTTTAAAAAAGTTATTATTTTGATGACAAAAAACTTAAAAAAAGTCTTGCCACGAGGGAAGAACAAGAGAAAATAGACAAGTTCATAAAGAAAAAGTGTGAAAATTATGTGTATTTTTGAGTAGTCATTTTCTAAAGCATGTTATGTGGTTATAGTTGTGTTATTTGAATATGAAGTTAAGGGTTTAATGATTTAGGTTTATTTTGTGGTGCAAATGATGAGGGCCTCATCTTTAGTTGTGACGTTGTGTTACTGTGGTAACAGTGATCCTTGATTTGGTTGAATGCGGATAAACACAAACCGACGACGTAGTGTGTGTGAGCCAGAGTTCGGGGCGATGGGGCTTGCCTTTGACACGACCGTTATCAAGCTCGTAAGCATAATTTAAAACAAAACCGCGGAGAAGACATGAGATGGTGTTGTGTCAATGTGGTTTTAGGGGCAATAACATGAAGTCATGAAGTGTATCATTGTAACAACTCTACTAATGAGACCGAAACACGTTCCCATACCAAGGACGTCAATAGCAAAGTTAGAGGATCATATATGAGCTCAAAAAAAAAAAAAAAAAAAAAAACGGTAAAGACAAAACTAACAAAATTGTAAAGGAGCCAAAATCACAGCTCTTGTGACAAATTATTTGAAGTGAAGAAAATAGGAAAGTCATGTTACACAAAATAATGTGCATTTTCATTGATATTTGCAAAATTATGCTATTCCTTTACATACAACCACATGAACCTCACACTAAAAACTTCTATATTTGCTAATTAAACAAATCCCTATTCTCACATTACAATACCTCGAAAAAAAATTGCAGCTATGCCACATTAGGTGACAATGCCTCAAATAAATAATATACACCTTTTACCTTTAATATACAGTGGGAGAAATACTTTTCTATACCCTGCTGCAAATATTGTATCAGATCATAGCCTGCAGTTGTCCACTTGTTATACGCATCGGTACATACACGGATCATGAAATTGGCTGCTTCACGTTCACTCATCTCAGGATGAAATCTCTTCCGTAGATTTCCAATGGGCTCACCCCTGCTGAAACAAGGTAATCCACTGTCCGCCATCATAGCTACAGTGCTTATAATCCCATCCATATGGCGACGAGCAGCTAGATAGCCCTTAACACACAATCTGTAACAAAAACAATACAAGGTCGGTAATGTTCAGATGATAAATTCAATTAGGAAAATTCTGTTTTCTTACCCCACAAAAGTATGCCAAGTTTCACTTCTCATAGTCCCAGAAGGATCAAGCAGTTGAGTCATCTCATGACTAAGCTTAAAATGAGCACTCTCGAAGCGCATGTTCCCTCCAGGAGACGTTTCAAGGATGAAACCAAAATCAATGTGAACAAGCCTTCCAGCACTGTAAAAGCAAAAACGGAATTTAGCATTAATATTGCTTCTTATGATACACAATAGGCATATATCCGAGCAAATCTAGTCATCACAATAGTAGCATGATTTTGTAGAATACTTGCAAGATAAAATTAAACTAATCTCAACAGCAATCAATATCATTTTCCATAATGAATATACCCTATTTGAAAGAGTATGAGACTTCGGACAAGTTCTTAGTTCTCAAAACATAATTTACTTCATAATATTTAAGATGTCCAAATATCTGAAAAGTAGAATACTTTTAACCAGCTCAAGCCAACAAGGCAATAAATTTAAGGGAATTACCTTAAATGTAACCAGAAGGCCTCAGTCAAACAATAAACAATAAACTTCAGAACAAAGGTGATATAGGAATATGTAAAGACATGTTGGACAGTAAAAACAACTACTATTAATCAAGCCCAGTGAACTCACCTGTCAAAAAGTAGGTTCCCGTTATGCCTATCTTTGGGTTGAAGTAGAAGACTGGCTACAGCATAACCAACACTGCTAACAAGGAAGTTCTCCCGAGCAGCCTCAAAGCTGGGAGATCCAACTGGCCCATAATCTTGCTGAAATATCTCATACAAGCCACCATCATTGATTTCACCCATCTGGCTTCTACTCCGCGTATTAGGCACAACCTGCAAGGATTGCGAATTGCAATTATAGTTTTAACAAGCAAATCGATATAATAACTCAAGAAAGTCCTAGCAAAGTATAAGACTATGTATTGAAAGAACATATCAATACCAGTCAAATCTATATAAATTAAAATAAAAGATACTTAAGCCAACATTGTAACAGCAATATTTTTGCATCAAAATAAATGCCACCTACTATATGGGAATCCATATAGTAATGTAAAGCACCAGTGCTGACAAGTTTACCTCTATTATTCCTCTCTCAGGACCAGTTGGGAGAACTCCATAGGGGAAAAGATAAAGATTCAGTCCAGCTGCCAGGAAAATGTCTTTAAGAAGAGCAATTACTTGTAAAGCAAGAACATCTTGCCGGCAATCATCCCCAACCTAAAACAAAATGCCCATTTTACAAATTTATCACAAAAGTCCAATCTACATACAGGCAGAACAAAATAGCTACAGCAATCATAATCAAGAATGACTGAATTGCAAATGTCTGGGCACATTAACAGTCTGACTTTACTTTTATACCAAACTACTGCCAAAAAAAAAAAAAAAATCAGTAGTATAGTAAATTTTGATGTTGTACAGCTAAAAATGTAAACTAGCAAATGAACATTTGAACTATTTTATTGGGAAACTTTATATTTACTAATTCAGATAATCAGACCAGCTGGAAACTGTAAGTTTTCTGCACGGTGCATCTAAATATATACCGTATTCAGCAACCATGATATTTCCACGATTCTTTGGAGAACACGAATGATTCTTACTTTTTTTGGCAGGCTCAACTTCTTGATGTATAATAACCAAAAGTTCTCAAATGCTTGCTCTTGTGACAAGCTCTTTTACCAATAATTACACAGCTCATTTCAAAAATCCACACGTTCCATCTTCTAATGACAGGAAGTACTCAAACTCATCTAGATGACTAATTAAGCCCGTATATAGGAAAGAAAAGGTAACAGGACCCAACCAATAGCCAAGATAACCACAAAATGGTAGCATACCTTAAAAATACAAGCTTGAGGCTTCACGTCATTTGGACTCCCTTCTCTATCTACCACATTAAATGTGATCATGATAGGTACCTTTGCTGCTGACTGCAAAGGTATACCACTGTCAACCTGAATGCCCCTAACAAGCTTGTTGGGAGCAGTAGGCAGGTAGAGGTCATCTCCCTGCATGTCAATTAATTCTAGTTCCCTGTTACAAGAATACAGAACAATTATCAAACAGACAATGATTATCAACACAAATTTATCAATGCCAATGCACTAAGTACCTTCGTATACCAGCTCGACGCTCCTCCTTTGGAAGTGAAAAGAGTTTACCAGATATAGATGTGACTTTATCAAAGAAATCGAATTCTCTCTTAAAAATATCTAGGGCTTTTGGGCTGAAACTATCAACAATTCTCTCCCTGACTTGTGGCAGTAGGGCCAGAAATGCACTATTCTGCCGAGACAACAAAACATGTGTCAGCTTGAACTTAGCAACCATCAGAAAATTAAACTCCAATTAATCAGATGTCTATGCTTTCAAATAAAAAATGAATGATTAAATGAAAGCTGTAAAATCAATGACGGGAACAGGATTTTCCATTTAAGAAGAAGAAATACATGTTCAAATGATAGAAACAAGCAAGACAAAGATTGTATCTAGTATCTACATGGTGAAACACAATGCATCAAAAAGGGAAATGACAAAGAGTTGAATACTTAAGCAATGAACACATTTTTCCACTCAATGAAGAAGCATCATAGCCAATAAAACTAAGTTATCAATATAAATACTTCCTCCGTTTCTTTTTAGAAACATCACTTTCTAAATAAGGAAGTTTCAATTTAAATGCATCACTTTCCCTATTAACTAATTAATTCTCTCAATCTCTCTCGTATCACCTGGCCCCATATATCTTTTTCTCTCTACCTCTATCTACTCCAAAAATTGACTAGGAGTCCGTAAAAACCAAAATGATGCAACTAATGTAACTAATGTAACCTCTCTACCTCTCTCTACACCTAATGTAACTAATGATTACAAATTAATACTGAACTTAACTGACTAAACCTTATATATAATGATTAACTTATTTTTTCTGATTCAAACTAATTTATACTGAATAATAAATAATTACTTTTTAAGGTGAACTAAACAAGGCCTAAACCTAAAAAGAAATTTGGGCATCAAGCAATCTAGAAAGCTATAGTCAAAGGGCTACACCCCTAACGCTTGATACTTGGTGGTTGGTACTGAGAAAGTAACAAGGTAAATGGAAGGAGGATCAGAAAAAGCCCTATCCAACGTTAGTATACAGTAAGAAACACACTAACACATACTACGTATATTGATATGAATCAAGGCCTATACATAAGATTATAGATCACAAAATGATGGAAAAAATAAGGTGAAGGAAGCAGGAAAACCTTCTGACTGTCAGCCTCTTTACCCCCTTCTGGTTCACATGTCTCACCCTACATTATTGCATACTTCAGTTAGTTAAAAGAACATCATAAACAAAATTAGTGTTCATAATAGGAGAGAATATGTACAAAGTTTATTGCAGGCACATATACCCCAACTTCCAGTACCTGTAAATGCCATATGAGGATGTGAGCAAAAATATCACTTCGTTGAGCAGCTCTGAGCAAGTATCCTTCAACTAACCTCTACAAGGCATAATTTTTTAATAGTTAATCAATAAATAAAGACACATATTAAGCAAATGAATAAAAGGTATAACCAAGCTATTTCACCACAGTTAGGAAACTTATGGCTGAAATACAGAATACAGAAGGTATAACAAAATCAAACCCAATAGAAAAACTTTGCCACACAATTATCCAAAGAGATGCAACACAAAAAGGAAACACAAAGAGTCTGGACAGATTATCATTCAAAGCCGTAATTTAATCAAAAGTTAAGCTATAAATTCTAGTTCAGAACATTTAAAAAAAAGAAAAAAAAGAAAAAAAAAAAAAAAAGAATCCAGTTTAAACTTTAGAGCAACTCCAATGGCAAGCTATATGGACAATTAGCTTGCCCATAAGGTTTTAAGCTAATTATCATTTTAGCTACTTTGATCTTTAATGGCTATCAGTTAGCTTAGTACTTAAATGAACCCCACCTCCTTAATTAAGTTTTTATATTTCATTTTCCAAAAAAAAAAAAGTTTTTTTTCCAAGCAGTTAACTTGGCAAAGGCTTGGCCAAGCTAATTGCATTATTTAGCTCCAATGGTCAAGCTAGTAGCTAGGGTTATTTAATATTGCAAGCAACTTCTACCTACAACCATTGAAATTGCTATTACGATTTATGCTCTACAATCAATAAAGCGAAGAAGGCATGTAGGTGGACACCAGTAATGCAATATTTACTGTTAGTTTCCTCTATCCAATCAATTAAAAATGACAATGAAAGTAGGTTAGCAGGAGAGTGTAGCACTACACAAAACTGAATGGAGAACAAGGATCTTTGAGGATAATCCTGAGTGATTAATTATAGATCTATGCAGCCGAATCCATCGTATTGGAAATAAGGCTATGATTTTGTTATTGTTGTTGTTGTAGCTCATTTAAAAATAGTCCATGAAGTGGTTTTGTGTAGATATGATTCATAGCGGACAACAGACGCTTTAATATGTCTTAAGACCAAACCCCACAGCAGCAAATAATCCAAGTCCCATAGAACTTACAGCTACGTTATAGTTGAGCACTAGATATAAAAAGGCCACATTTACTCAGGTAGTAATCAATTTTACATGGAGGGTATGACAGCACAAAGGTGAACAGGAAACTCACCCCCTCATCATAACGGAGAGCCTGCACTAGCTGAGGCATGAAAAATGTCACACATTGAGGAGGATAAGATTTTAAAACCCTCAGCACATAGGCCATCACACGTGGATGGCCCTTATATGCAGGGGTTAAGAAGTCAAGAGCTTTTGTTACTGAGCAAGCAGCCCAATGAGGCAATTGTTGCAGCAACATTGAATTGTCATCGACTGCCTTTGGGGTAACAAAGTATGAAAGTGCTTCAGGTATACATCGGAGCTCCAATATATGTGCCTGAAACAGAAAACACAATAATCAATAAATAACAAGCTCAAAAAGCTCATAAATAGAAACAAAGAGACAGAGGAAAAAAAAAAAAAAAAAAAAACCCTACTACTGCATGATTAAAGCAGGTATCCAAGAAAACAACTTTGGTTTTACAGTTAAATATAAAATAACAAAAAGATCATGATTCTGTTGATATAAATCATATAATGCATAGTTCACTTCAGCATAAATAATAAGAATACTTAATTATCTTTGGAAGTCAGTTGAAAGAAAAGTATGAGGGAAATGTGAGATAATCAGGATTGAAGAAAGTGGATAGAGAGAAAACAATAAACGGAATGAGCAACTTAATTAGTACTTCCTCCGTTTCATAAAAATTGCAACTCATTATCCAAAAAGCTCACATTTTTAGTCAAAATGTTGCAATTCTTTTTTTTTTTTTTTTGAAACAGAGGAAATGCTATTCAAAATTGGAAATAGTGCAAATAAATATGGGATGGAAAATTGAAAATGATACCAATCAGCATGTTCAAACATTTTTTTGATACAGCAAAAGAATTTAAACCACGGTCGTTGACTCAAAATCTCAAGACCATAGAGCCAATGGTTAAAATTTTAACATACAGTGCATATACATCACAGTTGCCTTAGCAATTCCATTGCGTGCCAAACGGGACCTCATTTACCTCATCTTATCAAAACAAAACCAAAAACATAGCCCACGGCGAGGATCCTGTGTTTGGCGAAATCTAGAACTCAGACTAACGTATAATCTCATTGAAGATATAGCATTGAAAATGGAAAGGCATAATGTGTGTGTGTGTGTGTTTGTAAAATAGAACTAGAAGCACAGATCTGCTGGAACTTAGATTGTAAAGCATATGTCTACAGGCCAATAAAGGCCAAACCAACTGATAGGACAGATGCCAAAGTCAAGCCTCATGAACCAAAAACTTTTACTTCCTCTTTTTTTTTTTTTTTTTTTTTTTTTTTTGATTGCACCAAATTCCTTTTTAGGAAGTTGCATATTAATTGCACCAATTCCTTATATGGAATGTTTTCTCACTTTTTGATTGCGTTCAAACACAAAATTCCTTACCTACCCTTTTTCACACGTGATAACAACCAATATTACCCCACCTTTTTTATCTCTCTCAATTATCTTTTTTCACATGGGCACTTTTGACATACTCCATCTTTACCCTTATTCTTAAATCCCATGCCCAACACAAATGGTGCAACTAAAGAAAAACGGAGGAAGTACATTACACAGAAACCACCAATACAGCTATAACACTTTCTAAAGCAATCAAGCAACCACCATTCAATATGCTTAGACCATGCTGTAACCCAAATATAGATGTCGCTCAACTAGCAAGACAAAGGCTCCAAATCTAGTTCAAATCCAGAGCAATAACCATGAGTAAATAAATAAGAACAAACCTGAACCAGCTGACTTATCTCAGCTTTCAAAGAGAGATTTGCAGGGAACCGTGACGCTAGTGACAAAGCAATTCGAGGATCCACTGAAAATGCAGTCCGGGCATACTCAACCCATTTTTCGGAGCTAATTTTAGGCCGGGTTGTGTAATCCCTAAAAAATGCATATGAAACCAACAGAAAACAATTTTAGAAAGCAATAACAGATCTTCAACTACCAAGGTAGTAAGCAACTTACAAACAAAACGGAACAACTTAAGAAAAGAAAAAAATACTTTGAATTAGTGGGTTGCGCCCAAACTTCAAGTCTGTCAGCTTCATGCTGGCACAACATCAGAAGTAAATGCTTCCGTTTTTCTCTCCCAACAACGTAGTTTTCCAGGCTACCCCAAACAGGATGAAAATGATCCCTCTGCAAGGAATAAAAAAAAAATTAATAAAATAATTAATAAAAAAAAAATTTAAAAATAAAAAAAGATTTCACATTACATGAGATACATAATGATGTACATTATGTAGCACAAATAAAAAGCTTTCAAGAGAAATCTATGCTAAGAACAGCAATCATACCACCTCACCCAAAGAGCCCCCATTTTCACGTGCCTGTCCTTTTGGATCTAATGGAACACTATCCATTCGTTCATTCAGAAGAAATTGGGCGAATGAGATAACAGATTGTGCCTCACTTTGAGCAAAATTTTTACTTTTCGTGTCGTACCATTCTGGCTCATAAGAAAACCATCCCAAACAAGCCCTGCACATTAATGTTCTCAAGTATAAGAATGATTTCTGTTGCAAATGAAGAAAGCTTATTGTAAGCAAATTGGAATCTCATATATAGAACTAATAGAAGCAATAAAGATGATACTCAATGACTACACCTGCAAATACCCTGACCTAAATTATTCCAATATAAGCACTCCAAACATTTGTACCAAACAACCATCAATATTAAGACATTTAAGAAAAAGCCCCCCAGCATATTTTTACCCTTTTTGTTATGCATTAAAGACTTGTTAACCGTAGAAACGAAATGATGATTAATGCCTAAATTACCCATCTGAAGTTTTGGGCACATCATGACATTTCATTTTCCCTTCAAGAATAATTCCACTAGGAATCTAATGACTTCGGGCATTATGAGTAGTAACTAAGGCATAGTTTCAAAAATATCAGGGATGTGCAAGAATCAGTAAAAACACATGACTAAATGTAGATCCTCTGGAAGATTCTAGACCTTAGAAACATTATAAAAGAAAACATTAATGTTGGGGCCAACAAGACAAAAGTATGAAGATTGCTTTGTGCAAAGAAACTACACCAGGTGTTTCTTTTCAAACAGCCAAATACATCAACTGGAATTTAGACAATTGTCCTTGGAAATACCATAAGAGAAAATTCACTGAAAGGAAATCACCTATATATCCGATCTTCCAGCAGCTGAAGGCCTGTTCTGAAGTTCTGCAAATTACCTTGTGATTGGCAAGAGCAATACTTTAGCCCAAGAAGCATTAGAGTGAAAAATGTACCCGTAGCAACAGGATGCTGGAAAACCTCCAGGGAAGTTTGGTAGTTCCTTGAAACATCCTACCAAAGAGAAGCATCTGTTCGACACTATTATGTCTAACTACCTATATGATTCATAAAGCATCAAAGAAAATTTGTGAGTATCCAACTTTATCAAACTGATATAGGCAGTACAGACCAAGCTGCAGAATCTTCTGCTTAATGACATTGCTAAGTAATACGCAGGAGAAAACACTAGGTTTTCAAAGGTCGGCCACAACAAAAAATAATACAGGTACCAATGTGTGCAACGATTGTTACACTGCAAGACACAAACAGTATACGCTTTGTGCAGGGAAAAGCTATAAAGCAGTTTTAAAATGCCCAAAAAAAAAAAAAGAAAAGAAAAAACTTCAAAGTCAAGCAAAAACTCCAACCTCAAATCGATCAATTAAAAATCCAAGCCATAGTCTATGAGCCATTATTTGTTCCACAGGATCTTTTTCAGGCGAAGCTTCTGGCTCTCCTGCAGAAAGGTGAGGTCGCAATCTAGCAGACGGCCCAGAACACTTGGCATCAGATGCAAAAAGGCCTCTTTTTGTATCAATTGTCCATAACCATGCATCCACAAGTTCTGCGAGGACTAAACAGCCTAACTGTGGCGCAGCTGAAACCAACCATGTCCACACAAAAACTGCAGTTTCCATAGCATCAGGGGTGCAAATGTAGGCTGGACACCAGCATAGAAGTCGTAATAGTTGCGAGAAGTACTCTGCACTTGTTTTTGAATCAGAAACCTAAAGAGATGACCCACAATATACGAAGAATGAGGACTACTTAAGCACATAAAGAATCAGTAACATCTCAAAATGATAAATGTATCAAGCATACCAAATTTGAGAGGAGCAAAGCAGTTGCTTGTGAACATGCTTCACGAAATGCTGTTTTGTCCACTGTTCCACCTTTCTCTGCAATGTTAACAAATTGTTGAAGCAGATGCACAAACTTTTGGAGCAGGATTTCATTGAAGGAATCATTCTCAGCTGATGGCTGAGAAGAAACACTGGATCGCAACCTTTGAAGTCCAAAACCTATACCAAATCCTGTTTGTGCACCAGATTGAAATCCACCAATGCTATTATATAGTCTTCTCATTCCAGCAATTTCTCCAGCAAATTTGGACTTCACAGCAGCACTGGTAACCCCAGTACTAAGCACCTCCAGGCTAATGGCTTCTGTCAAGATGAAATTTTCCCCAGAAGCTGCAGCTGCAGCAGACATCACTGCTGGAATATTTGCAGTTCTTGCACCAGTCCAACAGTTGTTTTTACCAGTGCCTATGCGTATCTCGGTTAATAAGGAAACAACATCCGTAGTAGGCTGTGCTCTCTCAGTTGAATTTGGTTTGCAAAGCTTTTCCTGTAAATTTATAAAAAAGATTTAACAAATGGTCATCTGGAATTAAGACCTTTCAGCAGATACAAAAGAATCAGCAAATATGTCTTATAGAGACTTGAATCCCTCTTGACCTACAGCAGAAAAATAACACAGCGCTAAAAGATACAACGGGCTTAGAGCATTCAGAAAAACTGAAAAAGAAGAATTAACCAATTCAATAATGCATATGTTTGCCTCATTGCCTGTGCAAAGATATACAAAAGGTTTAAGCTACAAGGACAAGAAAGAGCATAATTTTTAGATTAATTACGATATTATCTCTACAATGTCACCACAACAGTTCTTTTATATTGTAACAGAATTGTTGCAACTGTAAGGTCACCTACCCATACAAAGCCAAAGCCTCATGAGAAGGATAAAGGTATTGAAAACATATACTGTAGTCAATTGTACCCAAGGTTGAGTTTCAAATGGCAAGACAGTCCAACGATGTCTAACAACATAAAAACCTCCACAAATCCACAGTTTGCCTTTTTCTCTCTTAGGGCTGGCAAAATTTTTCCCTTAGTAAGGGTGGAGGATAGGTGGAAATTAGATGTCCAGGAAACCAGCAGAATTTCATAAGTTTATTAGCTGGGAAAAAAAATAAAATTAAAACAAAATGTTGCCCAATTTTGACAAAGTTAAAAGGGGCACTAATTTTAGAGGGAATTGTTTCATCTTTTAGTGATATGGACCAAACCAAATGTCTAGTCGGACTTTCTATATAATTACTCCTTTCTTTGTTGTAAAGTGATCCCTAATTCATACTCCCTCCGTCCCAAAAAATCAAGCTAAAACATGAATAGTGAAAAAAGTCCAATGCCCAGATATTCTTGGACCGGGGGGGGGGGGGGGGAGTACAAATTAAAACTTTTGCCCAAGTTAGCTCGAATTTCAACTTCACCCACAAGTAATTAGAAGAAGAAAAAAAAAACCTTAAACCCCACCCCCCCCCCCCCCCAAAAAAAAAAAAAAAAAAAAAACACATACACACACACACACATTTTTTTTCCAGGATTGGATTTCAGAGGTTGAAATAAGATTTCATAATTTCTGAGACTATCTTCTTTTCTTCCCTTTTATACATGACTGAAAAGCTAAGCAAAAGCACCAGTTTTCTGGAAAATACGAGGTATAAATCCCTAAAAAAGTAAAGGGAAATCACCAGATAATGACCCAAAGATTAGGCTGCTAACAGTGTTAAAACTTACTACATTAATTAAAATATTAGAAGAACAAAGAGGACATCCAACCTGAAGAAGACCCTGGGCAGTACATGGAGCATAGGAAAGTGATATAATAATCCATTCTCTTACTACCCTCTGAAACAATGATCGGATCGCAGCAGTACAGGCAGGATCATTGACTAGTGAAGAAGATGTGTCAATATTGACAGAGTACAGTAGCCAATCCATACATGATGAATTCCAAAGGATCTGCAAAAATTATTACTATCAAATTTCACCAAGGAAAAAAAAAATAAAAATCACCTCCATTATACAAGGTTAGTTGATGTATAAGAGTAAATAAAATTACCTGTGGAAACCTGTCTCTAAGTTGAACCAGCAGGTTAACAGATATATCCCTGACATGCTCTTCCCTCTGGGACATGGCTTTAATAAGAAAGGAAGCATGCACTGAGAGAGTTGAGTCTCTAATATCAGCTTTATCACCAAAATCAGATATTCGTTCCTCCTGAAATATAAGATTTAGACTTGAATGTTTAAGCAGGAAAAGTATCCTTGATTCCCTCTTTCTAAATTTATACTCCACTGTCCATTCTTTATCCAAATAATAATAAATTGACTAAGAAGAATAGATATATAAAGTAACTGTCCAAAACATATGGGATTATTTACAAAAATACAAGATGCAATGGACCCAAGTGGCCCAAGCCCACTCTAGCACCTACTATCCGAAACTATGCAAGAAGAATCAAGAGGCAGCTGAACAACAACAACCAAGAAGAGCAACAACAGCCGAGGCAAGACATGTGAAGCAGCCACAAGAAGAAACAAAGACAATCTGAATTTCTTATGTTTAATCTTTTATTAGTAAAAGACAAACAGTAATGAAAAGGAGTAGATTTACTTTTTGGTAGTCAACTCTCTTTGTAGTAAGCTGTAGTATTTAGGGAAGAAGGAGAAGAGGAGAAGGTATGCATTTTGATGAATTAGACTTTTGTATGAGCTTGGTACCTAAAGTTACTCTTAAAGACTAATAGCCTCAAGCTATTACTTATCTTGTAACCTTTGACTCAAATCTCAATCAAACTTACAACCTTCCTTTAATCTTATTGTTCAAAATTCTTGCAAACACTAAGTCAGAAAACCAGTCCATAACACAAGAACAACAACAACAGAGAGATGTTGACAGTGGAATAACAAAGAGAATCAATAAGAAAATGGAAAACGAAATATTGTAGAGAATCATTAAAGAAGATTACCAGCCATGATACAGCTGTTTCAAATGCCTTGTGGACAGTAGCGGTCAAACACTGAAAAACAGCAGGTGCAAGATTTGGTGTTTTCAAATATTCAAACACACAACTGAAGGCGCTTCTAGAAGCCGTTAACTCAGAATCACCGTTAAGAATACCTCCATTGCTGCTGAAGCGTATGATCTCTAAGAATGCCACAGCGAGCAAATACGTAGCTTTCACTCCTGAAAGCAATTTAATAGTTAAAAAAAAAAAAAATCTTCATCAAGACCTCAGATTGTCACATTTTCACAGAAGAAGACTCATGGCAAAAGATACAGGGAAATGAGAGCTACCAAGCAACATAAGTAGAGTAGTAGACAGACCACTTATTATATTAGCAAGGTCTAATCTATAGAAAAAGTTTTAGAGCCAAAAAGTTCCGTAATAAGTGATCACAAAATAAGAATGTTTGGCATTTCCATGAACCATCACTCCATCATTGCCTCCGTTACTATAATAAAAAGGGAGGGGAGGTACTCAGACTTCTGAAGGAGAAATGATTCAATGTGATTACAGGAAACTATATGATCTTTATGTTTGAAAATTGTCAATTTGTCATTCACTAAATAGATATGAAATAATATTACTGAACCTGAAATTGTACTCATTGCTCCAGCATCAACTCGTCCCCCTAATGCAGCAGAAAGAGCATTTCTTTGGGTCGCAGCAGCCTTTTCATTACCACTTCCATGACGGCTACCAGGATTGTGAAGAGCATTAAGTTCAAATTCATCTTCGAGCCACTTGACAGAACTTACAACCTGAATTAAAGACATAAAACATAAGCATTTAGTTTTATTTAGCTCATGTTGAAAAAAAAATTAATAATTTCTAGATGAATATGTAATTTCCACCCGACAACGCAACCTTGTCTATACTAAAAAAAAAAGTATACATCAGCAACAAAGAGAGAGCATAACATAAAAAAGACAGGCATTCTCATATCACCAAACACATTAACAAATTGACCCACTTGCTTTTGCATCTCCACAGTAGAGCAACTGTTAAAAGCCTCAGCCACCTAAGCTATAAAGACACTTAATAGATAATACTACGTAACTAATTCTGCTCCACTCTAAGGCTTCACTTCTAACTACAGACACTACAGATTGCCATTGAAACATTCTACAATGGTATCTTCTTCACCTTGGACCCTTTAAAATGGAACCTGCAGCAACTCCAAAATACAAAGAAAGACTTAGGACTCTCCACATGCATCTTAATACTGTATATTACTCCACCTCACAGTGAAAGAAGACGTACAGAATTCAAAACTTTCAAAACATTTATTTTTGAAAATTCAATAGTTGGACAGTTCAAGAAGCATTTTTTCAGATGTCCAAAAAAAAAAGATGTCCACCACAAACTTCTTAGAATGCTTTGGTTCCTGCAGTGGGGGAAAGGGGGTGCAAAGAACCTCAATAGATTTCCCTTTGTTTAAATGATATTTAGCTTGGGTAGTATGGATGTGAGGAAGATCAAGTTCTCCTTTTCATCAACAAAATCCTATGAAAGCAGATGAAGAAGAAAAAGGCAACTCCCTAGTCCCCAGTCCCCCATCCCATCCTTTCCTGAATTATTTTCGCTATTCCAATAAAAATAAATAATATTAAAAAAAAAAAAAAAAAAAAAAAAAAAAAAAAAAAAAGACTCCTTCCATTTGTCCTCCTACTAAAATATTCAACCAAACATATTATACTAATTAAACATTTGGACCGAACATAAAGCAAGACATCATGACCTTATCTCATCATCTAAACCAAAGGGTGATGAATAAAAATAAGAAGTCAATGGAAAAGAACAGAAACCAAGCCACAACTCAAGACAAATGATTATCTTACAAAAAAAACCTACAACTCCAAGGTCCATAAAAAAAAAAAAAAAAAAAAAAAAAAACCACAAAACAAAAGGCAAATATATATTCGGAACTGGAGAAATTTGTCGGCTCATCATGAAACCATTTTCTAGCAATTTGTGTTAGCTAGGGGTAGGTTGCATGAATATGGACCTCCTCAAACCCAGCCTATGGGAAACCCAGAACTGGTGATAATTATTGCACATCAGCACAAAGGAGGTGATCCTCATAACAGCAAACTAAAAATAACAAACGTTTTTCAAAACCCGATATAACAAAGAATGCAATTGTCAAACAAAACATGCACCAAATCAAAAGTCAAACACTCCACACTAAGACTCATCCTTCAGAATCCATAACAATTAGCAACTAATTGGATACAAATAGGTATCTTCCCTTGCAAAAGGTGTAAATTTAAAAGTCTACCAAAATACACCAAAAGACATACACAACACACAAAGCCCCATTACAACGAAGGGAAATATTTATTAAAAAATAAAGCATATACGCACAAACTCCTAATTTGTAAATCAACTTACAAGCGGCGGAGTAGCTTGAGCAATTTGCTGAATAGCTGATGCCCATTGACTATTCCACAAGTACGGTCCATCGACAGCTTGAAGTTGTATAGTACTCATGCTTCCAACACCACTCAGTCCAGTAGAGACAGACTTTGAAGGAACCTGATTTCTTTGAATGGGAGGTGCTAGTCCAAACAGAGCAATGTAGAACCACAAGTTGCGAAACAATTTCAAAAGTGAAGGCTCAATAATGGCAATTGGGTCAAAATCCAAACATATTTCTGCAACAGCAGGCATTAGAGGTCCCAGAAAGTCGGCTCCACTCCTGGAAACAGTTACGATTGCAGCCCTTTAAAAACATATATTTATACACACACACATAGTCCCAGCCAAATGCAATGTCTACTATCATTTAACACATTCTGTTCTCAACTTTCACTTTCAAGCCTTCATTCAACTTGTTCTAGTCCACCATTAAGAACCAAAAATTAATTTTAGGGGATAGGGTTTATCAAAAGGATTTAAAGATACTATACTCAATCCAGGTTTTAAATTAGTAAAAAAAAATATATTAAATTACCTTCCACCTTTAGATTCTGCAGCCAAACCTACATCTGAGCATAATGAGAGCAGACGGTGGCGATAGTCAGACCGCAATTTAATTTCTGTAAGACCTTGTGCAATTAATAGAAACGCTGCAGGAAGAGTCTAATAGAAAACCAGTGAGCAAGCCAAAACCTAAATAATTCACCAGACAAACTTTAGAAGTATCACATCTATAAAAATACCTCAACACGCTCTGTCATAGCCTCCTGTGCCATTGTTTTGCTATCTGCAGATCCTACATTAGACAATTTACCCAGATAGCTTCTTGTCATCAAAACAACAGTTTCTCGGTAGGACTTCTCAAAGCCTAAGCTGGCTAATCGAGCAGCAGCATCAAGAAGCTGCAGCAATAACAAATCATAAGCAATTAATATTGATGATTAGAAATATATCCATGCAATTTAACAAAAGGTTAACTGAGACAAAAAATTAGTTGACGTACACGGAGCCGCAATAAGCCAGGAGTTGAAGCTTCACCCTCCTCCAAGCTTTCAACAAGTAAAGGCAATATCATGTCAACTATTTCTGGCTTTTTGACATAAACATTTAAGTCAGCCAGCAATCGGATAACATTCAGCTGAATTGTTGGAACAGCAGCATTTTCTTTCGTGCCCTGAATACAAGTCAAACTATATAAGCAAGAATGGATACAAGGATAAAGGAGTTACAGTACAAAGAGCATTGTAAATTAAACCATAAAAAGTAGCTGCATAAAAACAACAAAGCACCATGAATTTAAACAAATAAAAATTGAGAGATTCTAACAGCCCTTCAAAAACATATACAAGTAGTCTTATACTCTTTCCACACAGGAAGATACACAAGTCATGGTGACTTTATAGCACAAACGACCATCATCATTGGTCAGTATTACTTTCAGAATATTCATGATACCCTGGTAAGAGGTAAAAAAAACAAGTTCGTCAAAGATAAGACACAGCCTCTATCTACTGAGAAAACAATAATGTTGGTCCCACTCCCCTTCATCACCACCCCTCAGCAGCCATAAGATATACTACCGCCATTTCTAATAGTTCTTAATCCCTCCATTTCATAATTAGAAGCCTATTTCTAACATTTATTACTCGCATAATAAAGAGAAATAGGCTTCTAATTATGAAACAGAGGGCGTAACATTTACTATTTGCACAAAAATTATGGTAATTAGAGAAAGAGTGTTGATGTAGTGAGTGACTGTAAGAAAAAGGTGGATGATGTAAGAAGTGTAAATAAATGGGTAGGTGTAAGAAAAAGGTGGATAAAATATTGTAAAGAAAGAGGGGTAGCATAGTAAAGGGAATTTGCCAAAAAAAGGACTAAAGTGAAAGGGTTAAGAAAAAAAAGAAAACAGAAAGTGTTGATAACTTTCGAAGATGGAGAAATTTAATCTTAAGATCGTTTGTTGACCCCAAAAATTTGCTATATCACCTATATGGAATTAACAGGCAACTGAGTAGCAACATTTATAAAGGGAAGTGACCAAATGAGTAGCATTGCTTAGACATCTACCGTAGAGTATTAATTTGCCGTCTGTAACATATAAGCCTTCTTGTTGGTAGGTGTAAAGAAAATTATTATTCTATTGAGGAAGGAATCAGTTGCCAAGAAGAGGAAAAGGGAGCTACAAGATAAAAAGTTTATAATAATCATTAAACATTCTTGATGCATTTCTCTTGAAACAAAGAAACATTAACCTTTCAGGTAATGGTGTCAAAGTCTGCCAACATGGATCCTTCACTTGAAATCTAGCACATATAACTAGCCAAAACCCTAAAAACGTTTCTACAGGAAGCAAACCTCTATTCAAGCTACATACAAATCATAACAACCACCCACTACTAATTACTAAAAGAAAAGATGTAGGTTAATCCCTCTTTTCCTCTTTCTGATTCACTATTCAGTCCTACACAGGCAATCTTGGACAAAGTGATCTTTTTCCTCACTTCGACAAGCCATCATAGCACAGCCCTTAATAAGACAATACACATATACTTGAGGGGAGACCTTAGATAGCATAACCACAGATCACCAATCGTTTCCTTAAGTCCGACTGTAACAAGCTGGAACATATCTTTGTTATCTTACACGCCCGTTGTACTCCCAATCACAAGGGATTAATAAATCAGTGATCATATTTTAATCCTCTTAGACATCATTTTGGTTGAATGCCCAAGAGAGCAAAAGACATGGTGGATATTCTTTTGTCAAAATAGAATGTTTGACCTTCTTACAACAAACATAAACCTCAAATGAAAGTTTTATAAGGCAACATACATGTAACAAGAGCATTCTATTCTTAATCACTGTAACAGTATTCCAATACTAGGTCTTCTATTCTATTATATATAAGCGGAAGTAAAGATGGCTCTGGCCATGCCGGGTTTTACCCCCAGACCCACGTGCTTTGGGGTTAGTTAGGTCCGGTCCATGGCTTGGCACACAAGTTTCGTGCGTACCGGGCCAAAGTTTTCAAAAGGTTGGCCCGTGCACAGCCTAGGCCCTCATGTCGGATCGAGCCAGGCTTACGTGCCTAAGCAAAATTGCATTGATTTTAGCTTGCTTTGTTGTGTCGGGCACGACCATGTCGTGCCTTGTCGTGCTTCTCCCAAATAAAGGCGGCCCACAGCCCACATGCACAGTTACGTGCCATGTCGGCCTACATCGTGCTCGTGCTGTGTCGTGCTTTTTTCGTACCGGGCCTCGGGCCGGCCTGGCAGTGCCATCTTTAAGTGGAAGTAAAATAGGAAAAATGAAGGTCCCCTTTAAAATTAAGAAAAGGGATGTGAAATCATTTCTGTTACCTCTTTCTTAGTTTAAAGGGGGTATAGAATAGCATAAACAAACATCCAAGAAGTATAATGTCTGTTCAATTTCAAAGTCAAAATTCATTAAAAAGCTGCAACATTTATGTTGCTGCATTAGAAACTGGTTATCTTAACATTAACCAGCATAGTCATAAAAGCAAAAACAAAATGATGGCACAAACATTAAAAAAACAGCTAGTAAAAGATCCTAAATAAATAGCCTGAATGGCAGTACCGCAGTACATTTCACATGCATCTGCATTTGGATGCAAGAAAACAACTTAGGTCATGCAAGAGAATAACTATTCCCTTGTCACCTAAAGCATATGCAGTACGACTAACCTCTTCATCATAGTCATTTCTCCCACGGATACTGGTAGCTAGGCCCAAGATGAAAGTGTCAACAGGAGCTCGGTCCTTACTCCAGCCAAATTCAACAATCTCACAGCATGTTCTGAGGACACTCTCGAACATAGCTCCCTGACTACTGCCCCAGGTGTCTGCCTGTCCAGAATATAAACATCACTACAAACTACAGTGAAAAAGATTTAAATTTAGCTGATGAAATTTGAGTTACCTGTGCACAAGCAGTAAGCACCAAAGGTTTAAGACGAATCAACAAAACTCGCAACAGTTGTCCACCACGAGCTGTTGCTATCTGAGCAACTCCAGAGAGCAAATAGCTGAAATGATCTTCACAAAGTCTGAGCTTCCTCCAAACAGAAAGTAGACAGGCTTCTGCACCATCTATCATCAATGCAAGGGTCTCAAGCAACAACCTCTTTGTCGATTTCACATCACAATCAAGCGAAGTGAGACATTTAATTTTCAATCTAGCTGCAGCTCGATAAGTAGATAATTTGGCATTTATTCGAGCTTTCAGAGTTTGACCATTTTCTGTCCAATCCCTCTTCCTTAACTGCCAATAAAGTAAAACCAATTCAGATTAACCATTCCATACCACAAAATTACACCAAACAGCAAGAGTAACCCAACACTTCCAATGAGTACCCCACTTAGGACTGGTAAGGATGGTTCGTAACCTTTCACTTGGCCAGTTAACACAAAAGTACTTATTTTAAGACACCAAAAAATGCCAAATTAGATACTACAATAAGAATTGCAAGATGTAAGATTGTTATGGTATTCCTTGCAACAGCTTAAAAAGATTTGTACATCAACTCAAGATTTGTAGTAATTCAGGCTTACATAAAAACTATGGAGAAGGGGGGGAGGGGGGGGGGATTGAGGGTGTCAACGAAAAAGGTCTCATTTCATAATAAGTGTTTACATTTGCTGAGCCGTCCTTGAGGTTCATCTGGAAAGGTTCATATTAATGCAACAAAACATTCTATTCAATCACTTTTACTTTGTTCATGAGATTGAAAACCTTTCATTGCCCTCGAAATGAGGTAACATATCATAAAAACTCGTTTACCAACTTATACTAGCAAGATGAACACTTCCAGTAGAAATAACTTCAATATAATCTCTACTGATCACTCATTACTAACAAGAAACATACAATACCTTTGAGCTCTAGCATCTAGCAACAAAGCATCAATTCAGAAATATTATACCTTTAAAAAGGCGGAGGATGACTGAAGCTGCCTCTTAGCCACTAACCGCACTTGCTCTAAAAGCCTATGATCAACCTCAACTTTATTATCCAAGATAAACCCAACCAATTTAAACAAAATCTCCTGCTTCTCTAAACTCTCTACAGACTCTTCCTCAAAATTGGCCACCTGCCTTCGAACAAGACCTTCGCCATCCATATTTGAAACAATGCTGCTCACCCCATTCATCTCAGACACACGAGACGAAGCCGTGCTCACAGCATCATCAACCACAACCCGTGAACCACCACCAGACGACATGGAGAGCTGTCCATGATCATTCATAGGACTCGGACTATCATGAGGGTGAAAATAATTCAAGCTCGCCGGAGAACTCTGAAACGACGACGTTCCTGATGCAACATTAACATCCCTAGGAGAGCTAGGATAAACAACAGCAGGCACATGTTCTATCAATAAATTGATCAATTTCTCAGCATCCGACCGCGAAACAGGCGGACAATTCTCCGACAATGACATTAAAAACGCCTTACAAATCTTCGAATCATCGGAATTACTACCATCATTGTTATAAGCATTGTTAAAAGCAGAAATTACAATCTCTCCTAAGAATCCGGCAACATCATCAGCAAACTCCTCCGACAATTGAGCGGCATTAACAATGTAACGAAAGAAATCAGAGTAAAACGAAGAAATTGACATTACCAAATGACTGAGGCCAAAAAGACAGCCGAAATGACGACGAAATTGATCGAAGAAACTCAACAACAACATCTCGAGGACGATTATCGGGAAGATTAGGGCACTGCGAGAGAAACCTAGCGACGGCAAGAACAGCATTGAGCTGAGATCGAGAAATTCTCGGCGATCCAGACGACGGAGACTCATATGAAGGACAACGACCACAAATCCAACCAAGTTTCTCCTTAAATTGCTCCGGATTCTTCGCAATCAAGTCGAAAAGCTCTGTTAAAGCTTCCATTGATGATTCAACGAAGAATAACCTAGAAATTGGTGCAAAATTGGGGGAAAATTGTTAGGGTTGATAGCAAAGATCAAAGGAATTGGATCGCATGAATGAAATTGGGGGCAAAAGTGGAGGAATGAGCTAGGGTTTAGGGAGAAAATATTGATGAGAGAATTGAAGAAGGTGAGGTCATTTTCATGGCGTTAAGGTATGGCAGTTTTCTGCCATTGTTTTATGGTCCTTTGGTTTTTGGGAGGAGGGAAAAATGGAGGAGAGAGAAAGAAGGAAGGAGGGAGAAAGTGTTGTTAAAATGAAAGCACGATATGATATGAGTTAACGACTTGGATTACTTCCCTAATTTGTTATGACACGTTGTAAGAAAGTGGGATAATTATAAGAGTATAGAATACAAATCGAGATTAAATCTCGTCTACATCATATTATTTAGGTTGGTATAAGTTCTTTTATAAAGTATTTTTCTAAAAGTTTAGTAATGGATCGAGAACATAGTATAAGTATAAGGAGTATAAATGGGAATTAAAGGAAGGTAATTGGAGGTAAAAAAAATGGATAGATTAACATATATAGTATAAGAAATTGATCTCTGCGAAAAATTTGAAAAGAAAACTCGTCATTTTTACACCCCTTCCCCTTTCTTTCTCACCCCTTTCCCCTCCCTTGCCCTTCTTTTCCTTCACAATTATCTATCCAAACACATTGTTGATGTTTTTATGAACAAGAATTAATTATAAGTGTTTCGGGTGAAAACAATGGGACCTTGCCGAAGGTCCGCTGAAATGGAGAAGGCTGGATTCGGTCCAAGTTATGTTGGGCCCAAGGTTTCCTGCACAGTAAACACACGTAAACTAGCCTCGGGGGTGTTGCCGAGGAAGGCCCCTCCGATGCTAAAGTCAGTACAATGTGTAAGAAGAGGACACTATGCAAGAGAGTTTGTTGCTTGAGGCTTTTATGGAATATATCAGAATATATGAATGAACATATGAATCTATGAATGAATCAGAATCCCTCCATGAATGAATCAATATGATGGCTTTTATACCTCATCATACATGGAGAGGTTGGGCCTTAGCCCAATTGGCTTGCTTTGTGGGCTGACCTTTGACTTTAGCACAATTGGAGAGTTGAACCTTGACCTTGGGCTTTTAATTGGATCATTTAGTGCTTAGGCCCAATTGGACTAAATTGGACCCAAACAACTTGCCCCCCAGACCCGATTTGGAAGGATGACGGGTCGGGTTTGATTTAATTCAGAAAAGGAGGGAAGTAAATGATTTAATTAATCCAAAATTTTGAATTTAAACCGTAATTAATGAGATAACAACGGTTAAGGCAGTTGATTGTGGAAGTTGGACGGATAATGGGCAGTTTAATCACAAGATCATGTGTTTAACGGTTACTTAGTGGAGTATTTAAGAGAAATTAAAACGCAGACTCCTCGTATCCCATACCTGGAGATATAAACAGAGGCGCGTCATCTCTCCTCACTTATTCACCAACACAAACCCAGAATTCTCGAGAGAGAAACCAAGAACCCGCATCAAAACTTCGCAAATTCCCCGAGCATTAAGCTTAGAAACTGAGACTTGCCACTACGAACTCGTAAATCGGCAACTTTCGCTTCAGATTAAGGTAAATTCCTTTGATTTCAGTTTATTTTTCTTCGAATTCGAACTCCTTCCCCTTTTCTTTTGACTTTTTTCTTCGAAATAATCAATGGCAAGAGGAGTTAGAGGTAGAGCCCGTGCTCCAAGAAGAGCAAGGCCGATTCCCGATCCTAGGAACAGGATTGGGACCTGGAATGGACAAAGGCCAGAGTCTGACCCTGCTGAAGGGATTAGGGCGACTCCCCTTTCCTCGGCTCCTCCTCAGAGAACGGAGGAGCCGAGCGCTTCTGGACAGGATGATGAAGTTCCCGCTGTCCTTTGGGATATCCTCCCCGGGTTTTCAGAATGGGAGAATGCCGAAGTTGCTTCGGCCATGATAAAGAACCGCCCCTACCCATGGTGGGTGGAGAATGCCGATCAATATCGATTTGCCGAGCAAATTGAGTTGCATTACGGCATTTTTGAAGCTGATGGGTATTGGTGCCGAATGCCCTCGGCATCCGATAGAATCCATCGTCCACCCCCGGGGTATGTGGGGGTGTACACAAGACAGCTTCAGTACGGGCTGAGGTTCCCTTTGGACGTATTCGTCCGAGACTTGCTGATCCATTACAACATCTCTCTATGTCAGTTAACTCCCACCAGCATCCGAAGGGTGATGACATACTTATGTGTCTGCAAGTTCTTCAAGTATGTGCCGAACCTGCACTACTTCAAAAAGCTCCATCGGCTAGTGCCAAATATTCAAAGTGGGCACGGAAGCCATGGTTCTGGGTGGTACCGGATTGAGTCCCGGCCCCAATACCTAACCATGTGGCCAAACGACTCTTCAGACAAGGACTGGAGAGGTCAATGGATTTGGGTTAGGGCACCCACAGATCCGGGCCACCCTTGCGTCTTCAGCGCTCCCCGGTACCTCGCTGAGCCTGATCCCGAAATGGGAAGTCTAGGTCCCCCCGCAGATAACGGGGTGGATACGAACCTTGATCAGCAACATATCTTCGGCAAGCTGCCGAATCGGGGGGGCAGTGGCCGAATGCAGCATATCCCGGAGACTTGGCTCCCCGATACGCATTACGTTTTCCAAGAGAACATGCTAGCAGCTGTTGGCCTCAGCCGAAAGTTTAAGGATGGTAAGCTTCTTCGGCTGGGGCCGAGGCTTTTTAACTATCTCTTTTTCTTCTCTCGCTTCGCTTTTTCATGCTGTGCCAACCTATCTGAACTAACCTTTCCCCTTTCCTTTTTCAGAGCGGGACGAGACCAACGTTGGCATTAACTACGCTCGTCTTGGTGTCAACCGAGAACGAGTTGTAACTGAACGGGCCCCGTCTATCACTGAGCCGAGGCATAGGGAAGTTCATCTAGACTCTTCCCACTTCCAAATTGAGGCTGTTGCTCTGTATCAGAGGCAGAAGCCTTGGTGGAAGAAGAGAGACCCCTGGTTTCAGCTGCTGGACGAAGAAGCTGAAGCTGCCCGTACAGCCGAAGAGGTTGCACGGGTTCTCGAAGCTTGCGAAGGAGGAGAAGGGTCCTCCAGAGCTGCTGAAGCAGAAGCTGCAGCTAGAGCAGCTGAAGAAGACGAGGCTTTGCTGAAGACCTCGGTGAGTTTTCAGACAACTTTGTCTTTATTTTTTCTTTCTTTTTTTTTTACTCACATTCTTCCTCCCCCCTGTCTGTTACAGTCTGAAGAGAGTAACAGACATAGAGAAGGGAAAGCTCCTGTTCGTCCCGAAGACCAGATACAAAGAGAGTCTTCAGACTCAGATATGGACGAGCAGCCCCTTCTGAAAAGGCGCCGAAGGATGGCCATCATCGGCCCTCATGACTTTCAGCGGAGGCCGATGACCATCGGCGTTGCAATAAGGGAACCCGAGGAAGGCAATGGATCGCCGAGGGTACCCCGGCCACCACCCCAATCACCTCAAAAGACCCCTCCGCCACCTCCTGAGATGGAGGTGGATCAGAGAACTCCCGAATCTAAGGGAGCGGTCCAAGAAGAAATTAAGGCGAGTGCTGCTGAGCACGAAAACAAGGATGCCGTGATGTCCAGTGCTGAGGGCTTCACGGCGGACATCGCAAGAGAGGTTGAGGCTTTCGTCCTCACCCCTGAAGAAGAGGAGGTCATAGTAATTGACTCCTCTGAGAAGGATGATGCTGAGCCATCCAAAGCTAATCAAGCTCCATCGTCATCCTTCCCTTCCTTCCAGACTCTGCAATCTGGAGAAATGGGTTTCTCGGCCCCCCGAATTCCAATCCCAGACCACATCTGGGACCTCATATGGGGTCAGAACCGAGAAGGAGCTGCAGCCTACTTCGGCGATTTTGCTGGCATGTCCGAAGTAGATAGGGCAAGGATCTGGTCGCTGAAGGCCACTGCTGGGATGGGCGAATCCAGCAGATCAGTTCCTGACCCAGCCAGGTCTAACCAACTGCTGATGATGCAGGTAATTTTCCTTGCCTTCATTTCCTCTGAAATTCAGCTCTATTTTTTTTTTATTTATTATTATATTTTTTTTTTTTGTCTTCCTGTTTTCAGTTCGTACACAATCAGACTCTCACTGTTGAGCTGATAGATACCCTACAAGATAGGGTAGACGCTGCTGTGCACGACAAGAAGGTAGCTGAAGAGGAATTAAAGCTTGCTAAGCTGAAGCAAACAGCAGCTGAAGAGAAGCAGCAGAAGGGTGAGGAGTATGAGAAAAGAGCTGCTGAAGCCCTCAAAACCTTCTGCGACGCTATGGAGAAGGAAGTTTTTCCCCCACTGATGGAAGGGGAAAAATTCCTCCAGGAGCATATGGGAGTGGACGTCTCCAAATTCAAGGCTGCTGTTGAGAGCCGTATTCAGGAAGGAGCTGCTGCACAAGATGAAGTTCAGCAACGTCTAGAAGCTCTTGAAGCCAGCCGAATGGCTGCTGAAGAGCTGCTCCAGGCCAAAGATGTCCAACTCTCAGAGGCTGCTGCTGCTGCCGAAGCTCAGAGAGCTAAACTCCATGAGGCTGAGGATCAACTGATGACCCAAAAAGTTGAAGTGGCCCAAGCTCAGACAAAGGCTTCCCAAGTTCAGCAGGAGCTGAATGAGCTGAAAGGTTCCTCCTCCAAGCTCGATGATGAGCTGAAGAAATCCAAGGAAGACTTGGAGGAGACCCAGAAGAAGCTGGCTGATGCTGAGGCTCTACTCAAAGTCCGTGTCTATACCCAAGAGGAATATGAGATGGGTTTCAGAAACGGGTTCAGAGTATGCCGAAGAGTCTGCCTTCATGCTGAACCAAAGCTGGACTGGTCTAAATGTGCTGAATGGGTCCAGAATCCCGAAGACCCTCATATGAAGTATGCAACTCCAGTCGAAGCTGAAATTCTTAAGGCTGAGGAAGTCGAAGAGGAAGCTGAGAGAATGGAGTTGGAAGCTGAACAGAGGGAAAGGGAGGCTCGGCAGAGTGCAAAGCCCGCTTCTTCTGCTGCTGGGGCTGAGGCCACCATGGGGCTCAACGCTGATCAGTCTGATCCTCAGGCTGAAGCATAGGAACTCGGGCAGTCGTCTTCAGAATCTTGCGGTTCATCATGTGCTTAACTTTAGACTTGCCGCTTTCTGAATTTTTTGCCTTGTTTTTTGCTTCAGCTTGCCTTGTCGTACAGCAGTTTATTTTTTTTTGCTTATGTACGTATTTCGGCAGCTGTTATTTTCCGCTGGTGGGCGGCTGCCGATACAGTTTAATTGAACTTG